AGAATTCTAAAACCAGTTATGAGATTAAAAAACAAACTTTCACAATGGACAGCCAAATAATACACCACACAAATGATGAGCTCCAGAATCTCAAAGTTAAAAAACGGCCTCATCTGACCTTGATTGGAATAAAGTATAATTTGGTGTGAACAAATCCTCAAATTATATTCAGTATATCTTGTTAAATAATGCCAATCATGTTCAACGTACATATTTAATAATGCAGTTTGTGATCACGCATATACATAGCTCTGTGAAGTTCAAGTCCGTTGCTACATTTTTAAAATCAAAGTTCAACTGGATTAAAAAGCAAATCAGTAGTTGCACAGATTTTCTCCAGAAAACACTTCAAGTTCTGCCAAAACAAAGTTTTGTGATGAGTCTTTAAATCTGTTGGGCTTTTTCTCCAAGTGTAAACAGCTTCACTGTAATTCAATTCTGACTTTCCCTGAAAACTGTAACAGATGATCTCTTTGCCAGCTCTGATAAGCTTGCGTGGATACTACAGATCATTCATAAATCAGTTAGTCACAGGACTCCCACTATCAACCAACACCTGACCTGTCTTGCCAGGGCATTTTCACAGCTTTGCCACTCCAAAGGGTTTCTCAGGCCTCTCATGATGACTTCATCCGAGAAGCTGTAATGTAAAACATGCTGTATTTCATAGCAAATTTCACCCTGCATTTAAAACTGCTGGCAGATATTCCTTGGGAGATAAACAATGTGCTGTGCTGTTGCTTCACCTGAGTGGGATTCAGTTACGGATAGTAAGCTGGGGCAACAAAGAATTCTTTTTTTATATAAAAAAAGAAGGTTAAGACCTTCACAAAACAAAATCTTCTCTCGGTCTTTGTATTAAAGGTAAGCAGGCATTCACAAACTGGAAACCTTGCTGTATACCAGCTGCTTTTGGCAGAATGAAGTCATCTTGGCAGCAGCACTGTTCTAAATCTCTGAATAATTGCTGGAGTTTGTGGAAGATTTAAAGTTCCACTTTACTCGGCTGAAGCAGTGTTCTGGTGTCTAATTTCTTTCTTCCTTTATCTTTCTCGGTTTCTTTCTCTTTCTTTCTTTAAAGCTTGTGGAAAGCTGAGCAGACAGCATTCCAAATAAATCACATTTGTCAAGGAAAGACTTGTAGGGAACTCAGTTCACACAATCCTTAAGTCCATTATAAACAAAATCAAAATATTTACTACACTGGGATGGCTAATTAAAGTCCTAACACAGAACCTACATGTCACAGAATGAGCCTATTGAGTGGATAATCACTGCCTTTCAGTAAGTCATGCCTATGTTTTATTTAGTGTGCCGTACAATAGCACAGACTACCCTGAGATCAAAATAAAAATGTATAATACGATTTAAATGTGTAATAAGATTTGGTCAACTTATTACAGTTTTTTTCTTGATATATTTTCTAGTTTTATAATGAATGAGTCTTTACTTGTTTACTTTCTACAGTATGAGATTTGTCTTTTGAGTTCACCACATGCACAAATCTTGAATGTTAAATATTTGTTCAGAAAAAAAGGTTTTTCCTTTGTTAAATGAAAAATAAGATATCAGATTTTTTGTCTTTATTTTTGAAGACTTTCCCATTATATAACTTGAGAAGCTTCAACAAGTTTCTAAAATACATCAGAATTGTGAACAGAATGAACTCAAAGAATTTTAGCCAGGAATAATTTTGAGCCATTAGTGCAAGTTAACATGAGCACAAAACAAAGCATTCATTATGGGGAAAATACTTCCCCTCTCTTCAATTATTTTTCTTTGTTTTTGCCATTCAAATCAGATGGGTGATACGTGAAGAAAAGCACATTTATATTACTCAACCATTCTCTGCTTCTCTCTCAAATTAAACTCTTCAGCCATTTTCTCCATTAAGAGCTGCCAGAATCTCAGGACTTGAAACAAAATGAATGTCTGCTTATTTATGCTATTTGAGGTAGTGAATGCCCTTTTCTAATTAAAAATTAAATGTTCTTGTTCCTTTTGTTGTACTAGGTAAGTCAGTTGAGAGCAACTTCTCATTTACTATGATGAATTGGCAAGTCTAAACAGCAGGGTATTTACTAGACACATCTGAGTGAAGTACCTTACTCAAGGGTACAAGAGAAACATCCCATACATTAATTCAACACATCGATCCTACAGAACTCTGCAATGCAGCCACAAATATCATAATGTTGGGTTTGTGGGGACTTCAGTACCATTATATTCCTCGTATTTTATGTGCAGCAATGAAATAAACCGTTCACAGCAGACTACATCAACATCTATTCGGAAGTAGTTATGTGGCTGAACCATTCTATACAGCAGAGAATAGTAAGTACAATACATTGTTTTGTAATGTTGACACTGAGGGGCTTTCCACTTGAAATATAATAATCAAACACAAGCCTATGGCATGAGTTACAAAGCATAGTTAATTCAGATACAGACTGACAGCAACATGTCAACAAAAAATGCACCATCAGTCTCTTTTCAAGACCTGTGCCTTGACAGCTTGTTGATACTAAACCACTGAGGTGTCCACAAAACTAAACAAAGTATCATCTTGGTGGAGAGAAGTCAAAACATGCAAGATGATTCAGAACAGAATCTAATCCAGACGGTCACATTGATGAGTTACATCATCTTCCAGGACCAAGGTTCACAGTGTTCACAAGTTCTACAGCGCACCACAAGATAAATATCTTCTCTGGGACAGCTCAAACCCTCTGGGGGATAAGATCAATTAGGCAGCAATTAATTAAGATAATTGCCAGAGCCTTAATGATAGGGGTCAGACAGCTGACAGGGAATCCATGAAAAGGCAAGCAACTATTTTTTTAAGTTTATGCATTTCAAATACTTCACACATGTCACACATTTAAATAAAGCATTCAAAACTTTCAGAAGGCAAGTTGAAAATCTAAAACAAGAAGTGCTTCCTGTCAAGATTTTTAAACTTATTTTTTCTTAATGCTTACTGATGTATTATGTAGGGTCTTATTCCTTTATTACAGTGTTAACATGTTGGAGTTTAAAAATAAACTTTTGATATTATAATATCACTACACAGTGATATTATAAAAAAATGTCATAAATAGTACCTGTGAGTAAAATGATTTAAAAAAAATGTTACAGTGTAATCTATAGATAGATTTAAGATAGTGATATTAATTGGAAGTTAAATAATACATTCAATACAATATAACATCTCTTGGTTAGGGAATAAAACCAAGTGAGGCCACATAACTTTTTGACTTTCATTTGCTTGCTTGTTCAGTCCAACTCCAGGAATACTCTACTAATTTTGTCCTTTAAAAAGAGAGGGAAAGTGTGAGGTTCTATTTTGTTAAGTATCGGTGAACAATGGAGTACTTTCTTAGCTGGCAATACAGCATAGTTTTATCTTCCTAGGTTATCCCCATATTCTGGATTCAGAGGAAGCATAAATTGAAGAAACAAACACCTCTCAGAAACGTCACATAAATCATGTTTAGACCTTCTATATTTGTCCCCTTATATAACTTGAGTTGCCCTAGGGTATAGTAACTCCCCAGTTTAAAACCAGAAATCCTGTTAATTTAAGATAAAGTATCCATACATTACTCTACAAACATTTCATTTGTACAAACCCTACTCAGAAGAGCTTAATGGAGTTTTCTAGCTGTTCACATACCACAACAAAAAGGAAAGCTGTTGAACAAACAATAAAAGGGATCCTGTATCTTTTTTCACCACAATGAGCCTCTGACTCCTTCTGTTGTGCTGACGGTCCTCTTTTGCCATTACTGGTAAAACCTTTAACCTAAGGTCAACACATTCCACATCACATCTGGAGCTTGCACTGCTCTGTCCCTAGTCAGTCATCACATTTCCATATTTAAAGTTGTTCTCAAATCAAAATCTTTCTCTCTCAAACATGGGGAAACCCAACATTTTTTAAATAAAAAAGTTATTTTTTCCAAGTAATTCATTCAGCATTATTTCTCTTACAAGTAACAGATTATCTCAGTTGTACTTCTGTTTGCAGTGCTTCACCTCCTATTATGCACTGGGACACCAACAGGATACAATGGATCCAAGAATAGTGGAACATTCTGGCTTACCCACAAATCACCAGTCCCTAATAGAGGGTTCTCATTGGGTAGAACCAAGAAATCTCTGACCAATTAAAAGTCAGTGTGCAATACCGGGGATATACTATGAGATTAACAGGAGGTAAAAAGGTTTGATATGATCCTGATCAAGGTAAACAATGTGTGCTGTTTCAACTGCTAAACTTGCATGGCATTTAAATTCACATTCCAAACTAGCAAACTTGAGTCAATTTTTTCTCCAAAGTGAAGCAAACTATGTTGCATAGTTTTCTACTCTTTTATTTTCATCACAGGACAGTCTTAAAAACATAGAACTGAAGTACTACTCTGAAAGGGCCTACAATTATATTTCTGAAGCATTTTTCAACTGAGAAACTTAAGCACATGCTTTTGTAAAAGGAAAAGCAAACTCCTAATATCACAAAATCAAAAAGAAACATTTGAACTGCTCAAGCTCCAAGAAAGGCACGTACAAATGTTTGACACTTTACAACTCCATTGTATTGTTCTCTTATCAGGAGAAATCAGTTACAGTTTGCAAACTGTGTGGTGGTAAATGTTTCATGAATACGGCCCTTGGAGTTAATGTAAATTTGATTGAAGGGCGCTGGAGTCTAATCTGAAGCCGTGTTTATTTTGTCAACCTGTGGTTTAATCCAAATTCCAGCCACAAGTTAAATTTGTTTATTTTGTCTTGAAAGAACTTACCCAGTCTTTCTTTTTTGTTTTGTTTTTGCACACGGGAATAAAGCGCAGGTTAACAGAATCAAATACACCATCAAGAGCATTTAACGTTCTACACTGTGTGTCGGACTCTTTTTCATGGGAAATTAGAATGAAGCTATTTAATGGCACTGTCCTTCAACTGCTCTACCTTTGAAATGTTAAAAGTCGCAGGCTTACCAATCACGATTAGCGTATAGTTGATGTTGACGCTGCCAAAGCCATTGGTGGCTTTGCAGACAAATGTTCCGGCATCTTCTGCCTCTACTTCTTTGATCTTGAGGCCTTGGCGAAGGATGCGGAACCTCATCCAGCCACTGTGGATGTTCCGGCCATCTTTGGTCCACATGATCAGAGGCGGAGGATCACCTTCCACGGGGCACAGAAGCTTCATGGTCCGGCCTATTCTCACCGTCTGGCGGTGAATGATCTTTTCTGCAATTCGAGGTGGACCTAAAGGCAAAGAGTTATATCATTCATTTCTTGTCAGTGGCAATGCCAAAACATATAATTCTGCAAATGCTCACAAATCAACATGTTTAAGGGTCTTTTAGTCTGAAGGATGCTTGGCTGCATGGGTTACCCCGCCAATTTGTCAAAAGCGAGTAAACTCACTTCTTTTAGGGAAATGCCTAGATGTGATCCCTGGACTCGTGTAGTACTAGCAATCAAATGAGACATGAATGGCCTTCTCTTGTCTATCTGCAACCTTTCTAATGTTATTACATGCACATCAACTAGCATCACTGTTTTTCAAAACAGTAAAGTTTCACATGCAGACTTCACTTATACAAGCACATACATGTAGAGTTACGTCAAAAAACAAAACGGTATTCCGCATTTTTTGTTATGTCCAAAATCAAAGCCACGGGAAACTCTGCAACCTTTCTTCAGTAAATAGGAAATGAATGCTGTTGAAAAGTATAAAAATATGAAAACAAATGCCTGGAATGAACTTCCTTTCTAGGGCCATGCAGTTTCCATTTACAACAAAAAAGGAGAAAAGGTCTGTCAACGTAGCCACATGTTGTATAGGAATGAGCAAGCTGGGCCTATCTGAGAAACATCTCTGCTAGAGAGGGCACAAAGAAATGAACCTCCAGGCAGAGTAATTATTCTTCTTCGGTTGCATTGATGCAAGCCATCTGGGCCAGCGTTTACACACTGCAGATTCTCCCAGTAATGAGCCATCATTAGACCGCCTTCGCTCCTCCCTGATTATAAAGCTGAGCCAAGGGGCCCCCAAATAAATAAGACCTAAGCATGACAGTGCTACTTAAGAAATACATAACTGTGGCAAAGTCAAAGGATCCCAGTTTGGAAACAAATGGGTAAAAATTAAGTAAAAGAGTTTTTTTCTTGACTTGCTTTTTCTGAATTAAAATTCTTCCCACTGAATGGGATGCACAAAAGGATTTCAAGATGCTGATTTTCTTGTTTTTGTTTTCTTGTTTAGGAAAAGGAGCCCAGTAGCGACAAGAACCTGGTTTAAGAAAAGCAAAGTGAAAATGTTTGTTACCGGCCGGGGAAAATTTCACTGATATTGTCTTAAATAGAATTTGTCTTCAGTCAGGAAAAGATACAAAAAAGGTTCATGTAGGGGTCTTTTCAACTTTAACTCTCCTCCATAATGTCAATCAGACAGCTGGCTAACCACAGCATGGGAAAACCAAATGCTTTAGGGTTGTTTCCGTGTACTGGACTGAAAGCCACACTTGTTTAAAACTTGAAACTGTAGCAAAGCACACATTAGCCAAGCACCAGATATTAATGAATACTGAGTTAACTGTTCTCTGTCTTATATAAAAGGATCACTAAGCCATAAAAAAGCAAGGTCAACCCAGCTGGCAATATGGAAGCAAGCACTACTGGGATGAGGAGGGGCTACTTACTTCATTTATCACACCATTGTTTCGATTACACAGAGGTGCTGAAACTACTTTGGAATAATTGGACCAGCCGCAAAAAATATCTCCATACCAACTTTTCTGTGTGAAGGAGATCAAAGAAAAAAAAATAGTGTTCACAGCTATGAGAGGAAAAAAATGCTTTTAATTGCCAAAATTTCAGATCCGCTTAACTTCCTCTTGACGTTGGCCAGAAAACTGCTGGACACCTTTGAGGCAGGAACTTCGCAACTGTTAGAACTCAGTACAGAACATAGAATACAATCATCGTGCCACGGGGAAGGAATTCACTATTAAGAGGAACGAATCAGTTCCACTAGTGGCAATAACCTTCTTTTTACCTTCAGCGTGATCCAATTATCACTAAAAAGTCTGCTGCTTCTATATAATCTGTGTGTTATATGCATATTGATATGGTTTTTATTTTAAAATAAGGTACCCTGGGACAGCTCCCTGAAATTATTGTCGGGGAAGGTTAGCTCCCTCTGAAGCCAAATTCAGAGAACACATCCCACGTCTGTGAGCTATTTTAACGCTAAATCATTACAGTGACAATGATGATGATTGTTATTACCACCATCATTATTTTCTACCGCTAAATTAATTCATTGTGGGGATTGTTGGCACACTCCCAAACAGTGCATGGAGTAGTAGGGTTGTGTGTCAAAAAAAACTGGAAATACACTGTGCAGTGAAATGGAGGGTTAAAGTGAGCGATTTGGTGAAGAGGTAATCAAGAAAAGAGAGAGCGTGCAGGGGGTTTGGGGAAAGAGACGGGGAGCCAATCTCCTCAAATTCTTTTTGCTCCTTATCATCTGCTTCCTCTCTGAAATGAATAGCTTGAACATCTAAGTGGTGATTTGGGACCCGAGCTGCTTCATTTACTGTTACATATGTGCAGTCAAATTCCAAAGTGTATCTCACTGGATAATTCCTGTTGAACTGACTCACACACACATTTACATTCAAATTCTACACATATGGCAAACACCCTCACTGTACTCTAACCTTTGAGACCCATTCCCTAGGTAGAGTTCAAAGAGAACTTTATTAACACATTAAATATAATTACAAAAAGGAAATTCCAAGGAAGGTCAAACATCCTGGACAGTATTTGGAAGAGAAAGTAATTTATAGTATCCTTATACATCATAAACTTTACACAGATGTAAAATATAAAAAAGGGAAAAAAAGATACTTTTAAAGAGGCCTGGGGGTGATCTATTCATTATTTTAATGGTAAACATGTTAGCCTGTCAAAATATTTAATAGGTACTCTGAAAGTAGAACAGTAGCAAACTGGCAGGCATCTCTGAAGAGGTTCACATGGCTAGGAAGTGCATACTATCTTCTAAAAATTAAGTTGTTATGGTAACAAAGTATTTTTAATTGGGTTTAGCAGAATATTAGATATGAACTTGCCTATTATTCCCTTAGTTTAAGTGTATTAGGCATAGTCCTGTTTCCTCTCCAGAACAAGAAACAGAACTCCTGAACAGACACTTTTACAGACTATCCTGGACTGGTCAGACTGGTGGACCCAAGACACATTTTGCAAGAGGCAGACAGTTTAATCAGCAATTAGCTTCTGCACTTCCCCTTCAGACGGGCAATTCTATGAGAGAGAACAAGCAGGAAATTGTAAGTGTCATTGTTTATGTCTGCGGAGAAACTGTAACCGCTACACTTGACTGTGAGCCATTTTTCTCTTTGGCTCAGTTGATACTGCAAAGTTTCATTGCATCTCTTTTGTTTTCTTTGGTGGACGTTACAGTACTTCCAAAACTAAAAAAAGAGCACATAAATATTCCTAGGCTCCACTCAGTGATATACCTATGCCAACAGCTCTTTATTTAAAGACTAATTACAGCTTTCAGCTGTCTCACATTCTTGGAACTTTCCTATTTTGGAGATACTGTTCAATACAACCTACTAACATCACTTAAGGATACACAGAATTCTGGCTTTAACGTTACAACGGACATGGAGAAAGACATAAAAGGACAACTATGTGACTGCTCACATACTGAATAATATGTGCTCCCTTTAAAGGGTGTGCCATCAAAAATGCTCTTCACTTTAAATACACAGTTCAAAAACGGATATGACCAATGTTCTACACAATTATCAACAAGCATATCATTCACCTTGAAGAAGAAAATGTAATTACTTAAATATAAGAACATATATAGCTCCTTTAACTTGTCCATATAAAGCATGCCACTAGCCTGTCCTGTTTGTGGTCTGGTGCTCGCAAATGCAATATTCTAAATGAGGTTTTAGTAGTGCATTATAGCTGCCGTGATATGCCCAAACACTCTGTTTTGCGTCAGTATATTGTCCTTCTGATCCCACCAGAAATGGCAGTGCAGTGAGCTCTCTGGTCCACAGTTCCCTTGTTAAAATACTCCTTGATTACTCTTTGTCATTTATATAAAGTGTCAAAATAAATCAAAGCATTAACACAGATATTGTTCCAGCATTTCCATTTTCTTTCATTCTTAAGTCCCAAATATACAGTAAATAGAAATACTCCTCTCTTTCATTGAGACTTTGCCTTTAAAAATGTGATTGAAATCGCAGTCGTGCACTTAAAGTAGAATATCTGATGGCCAGGCTTCTCGTGATAATTTACGGTTCTCTTACATTGAACCCTCCTTGAGCTCATTTAAAAAAGGCTCCTGGAACAGACCTGGGCCTTGTCGTCCTCCCTCCTCTTATATAAATCCGCAACCTGACAGCCGTGTATGTAATACCCTGGCGTATTCAAGATATCAGAGACAGAGGGATCAAAACAGGGGCCCAAGCTTTCAAAACATGCTTTACAGCCTTTACCGTGTGGATAAACCCAACTTAAGCAGGTCCCAGAATCTGAAAAACAGCACGAGAGAGTTTAATAGGTCATTAGGGTTTTTTTGTCTTTTTTTACTGCTCTCTTGCTAAGTAGAGGAATGTGACGCTGTGGAGACGGAAAGTGTTTTCAGCAAGATTTTTGAGCAGGGGGCTGGTGGGTTTACTGCAGGGACTTTTTAAGTTGCTAACTGTTTTGTTCATTAAACCTTTAAGTACATTGCCTTCTGTCGCAGGAGTCTGCGTGATTCTGGAAAATAGTCTTAAAGCTGTAATATCCTATTCACAGGCTTCCAGGTTAAGCAAAGCAGGCACACTTCATGCTTAAAAATGACACATTCAGGAATTCAGGAAATTGACATACTGTACCAGTCAGGGACCCATTTAAACCATAAAAATCCAAGCACTGACTTTATCGATTCAACAAATTCAAGGTCTGACCCTCTTTCACCAGGGAAAAATATGCCCACCACCCCACACTTTAAAATGGAGGGCGGTGACAAAACCCTAACTAAATCCACTCACCCACACTATACTTTATGGCTATATTAGCGCCTATGTGCCATCAACTATAAACCATTAAAAAAATCTTCTCTCAATAAAACAATTAATAGCAAAACACCAGCTTCAAACTCCACCAAAGACCAGAGTGCTTGACACACATTAAAGGACTGTGTTATCCAAACATTTCTGTCC